CCTGTCCCCGTGTCCCTGTCCCTTCCCCGGGCCGCCTCTCCTCTGTCCCTGTGTTCCTGTCCCTCAGTCCCTTCCCTGTGTCCCTGTTTCTGTCCCTGGGGCCCCTCCCTGTGTCCTTGTCCTTCCCCTGTGTAACCCCGGGCCGCCTCTCTGTGTCCCTGCCCAATGTCCCTGTCCCTTCCCTGGGTCCCTTCCCTGGGTCCCTGTCTCTGTTCCTGTGTCCCTTCCCTCTGTCCAATCCCTGGGTCCCCTCCCTGTGTCTGTGTTCCTTCCCCGTGTCCCTGTCCCATTCCTGGGTCCCCTCCCTGTGTCCCGTCCCTTCCCCGTGTCCCTGTCCCATCCCTGCATTGCTGTCCCTTCCCTCTGTCCCTGTGTTCCTGTCCCTCAGTCCCTTCCCTGTGTCCCTGTTCCTGTCCGTCTCCCTGTCCCTCTCCCTCTCTCTGTCCCTGTCCGGACTCGTTCCCTGCCTGGCACAGGGAATCAGCACTCCCAGGTTTCCCCTGAAGGCTGAGGAGGAATTTGGGATTTCCTGGGAGCGTTCCTGAGCACCCTCCCCTTTCCCAGCCTGACCCCGTTCAGTTCCTGCCTCTTCCCCCTTGTCCTTGGATCAGCCTTTCCCAAGGCCTGAGGGACAGGGGGGTTCCTGAGGTGACTTCCCTGGATCCTGTCCCTGGATCCCATCCCCAGATCCCATCCCTGGATCCTGTCCCTGCATCCTGTCCCTGGATTTGATCCCCGAATCCCATTCCTGGATCCCACCCCCAGATCCCACTTCTGGATCCCACTCCCAGATCCCATTCCCGGATCCCATTCCCGGATCCCATTCCCAGATCCCATTCCCAGATCCCACTCCCGGGCCCCGTTCCCCGCAGCTCCTCTCTGGGAAGGGCCCTTTCCCCTCGAGTGGAAGGGCCGGGAATCCCCCGGGGCTCGGATCCCGCAGGGTCGGCAGAAGCTCCCAGCCCTCATTCCCAGCTTTTCCGCGGGATGCGCTCGCGCTGCCTTCCCAGCGCTGCCCCCGCCTCCAGCTGCGCTTCTCCTCCTCCTGCTTCCTAGAAATTCCCTCTCTTCGTGGTTTTTTGGGGAAAAACTTCATTTTCCCTGTTCCATTTTCCCTGTTCCGTCCCCATCTCCTGGGGAGCTGCACATGGAAATCCATCAGGAACCTGGGAATGGATGTGGGGGGGATCCTTTGTGCCTCCTGCATTTTGTCAGGAGCTTCCTGGAAGGAATTCACCTCCCAGCAGCCGACTGGATTCCTTCCCTCCCTGCTCATCCCTGAGGAATCCCAGACAGGGAATGAAGCACTCGTTCAGTGCCTCCTGCTGGGATTTTCCTTCTTCCAGGAAATCCAGGAGCTCCCATTCCACAGGAGACCCCAGCACTGATCCATCCTTTTCCTGAAAGGGTGGAAAGAAAGGAATTAATTAATTAAAAAATGAAGGAGGGAAATAAAGGAAGATTTGCTTTCTCTGGGAATGCCTGGAGCCGTCCCCAAGCCCCAGGACCTGCAGGGAAATGTTCCTGCTGGGAGAATTCCTCTGGAATTTGGGTTTTTCCCACCTTGGCTTTGAAACCTTCCAGGGGTTTGGATCATGGGGGGCTGCCCCATGCCTGGATGAGTCCCAGGTGGGTTGGAATGACCTGGGACAGTGGAAGGGTGGAACGAGATGATTTTATGTCCTTTCCCACCCAAGCCATTCCATGATTCCAAGCTGGAGAATTTCCCACAGGGATTAAATACAGAAATAGCTTTTTGGGGGGAGATACTGATGAATTTTGCTGTTTCTCAGCCATTGGGATCTGGCTCTTCAATCACCCATTGCAGGAACTTCCCACTGGATCCCTGAAAACAGCCACGTGGCCCTGAAATTCCTGCAGGTTTTGGGGATCTCCAGGATCATCTCTGCAGGGAAAAGCTTTTAGGGAGCTTTAAATACAGAAAGAGCTTTTTGGAGAGAGATATTAGTTAATTTCTCCAGAATTTTGGGGTTTCTCAGCCATTGGGATCTGGCTCTTCAATCACTCACTGCAGGAACTTCTCACTGGATCCTTTGGGTGTGAAAACGCCCACGTGGCCCTAAAATTCCTGCAGGTTTTGGGGATCTCCAGGATCATCTCTGCAGGGAAAAGCTTTTAGGGAGCTGCTCCCGGAGCTGGAGAGGTCGAGTCGCCCCGCGGAGCCTGCAGGGTGCAAACAGCAGGATGGGGAGGCAATGAGCCTTCCCCAAGGAACTGCAAATTAGGGAAATTACGGCAAATTAGAGAAATTAGAGCAGCCAACGGCCCGTTCCTCTTTTCTGGGAGCAGGGAGCGTGACCGGCACTCCTCGGTCAAGCCCAGGTGTGTCCTCAGGGCAGGGACAAAGCCCGGGGGAAGGGATGGGACCGGGATTGGGGCTGGGAGTCAGGCCAGGGAAGGGATTCCGCTGGAACTGGGATTTGTCCGGGGGTTTGGGGTGAAAAATCCATGTGCAAAGTCTCTGGGTGCTGGAAATCGGGATCCACGAAGTGCCCTCCCCGTTTCCCAGATCCATTGGAGCAGCATTTTTTTCCCTGTGTGATTCCAGGCTCTTTTCAAATCCCTTTTCCCCCTCGGGTGCTTTTTCCTCGCTCTTACCCAGCTGCAGGACGGAGGGGGCAGCAAATTCCCTGAATCCAGGCGGAGCCTCGAGCTCTGCCGAATTCCTGCTGGATGCTTCATCCCAAGCTCTCCCCTTCCATCAGCTGGAATTTTTCATGGACAAAAAATCCTGCCCTGTCCTCGCCTGACCCGTGCTGGGCCGGGCAGACTCTGACACGTTCCTTTCTCCACATCCCTCTTTCCAGCCTGGAGCTGCTCTGCTCCCTGCAGCTTCTCCTGGGACACCTCGTCTCCCTGATGTCCCCGAGCTGGGGGAGGTGGCTCTGCTGAGGGCCAGGATCCAATTCCCAGGGTTTGTTCTCTTCCCTGAGAATTCCTGAGAATTTTTTCCCAAAATCCCATTTATTTCGTTTAATGGTCGTGCCCAATCCAGTGCAATTTCCCTTCCCAATTCCCATGAGAATTGCTTCCAGAGCAGCTGGAATTGGATCAAACTCAGCTTTTCCAGAAGATGGAGTTGGGCCCTGAGGCTGGAATTACCTGGCATGGATAAATCATGTTTGGGAGGCATGGGAAAGCTGGGAAAAGGGAGAAGTCTCCTGATGGGAATGTTCCTGTGCTGCACTGCTGGAAATGTGTCTGAAATTGGGCATTAAAACTGGAATTTTTAATCCTGATGAAGAGAATTAAATTGGAATTGCTGAGCAGTAGGATCCCAGAGGAAAATCCATTGACAGCAGCCCTGTGCTAGGATCCCACCCCTGCATCCTGTCCCTGGATCCCATTCCCAGATCCCATCCCTGAATCCTGTTCCTGGATCCCACCTCTGGATCTCATCCCCCGATCTCATCCCCGAATCCCTTCCCAGATCCCATCCCTGGATCCCATCCCAGATCCCATCCCTGGCTCCCTTCCCAGATCCCATCCCCAGATCCCATCCCCGGATCCCATCCCCGGATCCCATCCTTGGATCCCATCCCAGATCCCATCCTTGGATCCCATCCCAGATCCCATCCCTGGATCCCATCCCAGATCCCATCCCTGGATCCCAACCCCAGATCCCATCCCTGGATCCTGTCCCTGGATCCCATCCCCAGATCCCATCCCTGAATCCCATCCCAGATCCCACCCCCGGATCCCATCCCAGATGCCATCCCTGGGCTTGCTGGAAAATCCTCTAAACCAGGAACACACTGGATAAATGGGAGCATTCCTTCCCAAGTCACCTTTGGCAATATTTCCCTTTCTGTGTCCATCAACTTCCTGCTGATTTGTTTGAAAACCACAGAGGAGAGATTCAAACACCCCGGGCCAAAGCTGGGGAGAAAATACTGGGGAATATATTGGAATTTGGGAAATGCCGACACTGCTGCCCAAAACTGGGTCAGGAGACAGAATTCCAGGTTCTTTTCCAAGATTTAACACCCACTCAGTTCCCTGTTATTTTCACACCTGAATCAAAGGGAATAAAGAGAATTGTTAGGATAAATTAAAACCACAGCCCCCCTGGCAGAGGTTCAGAATGATGTGGGATTGATCCAGCTCTGATTTTTGGGAAAAGAACTGTTCCCACCTGGGAATTCTCCAATCTAGGATTTGTTATTTTTTCCGTGAGGAATTGTTTTTAATCCTTGGGACTCCCAGGAGTGGGGAATAACGGCAGGACAAGCTGGGTTCATAATAAAAATCCCCTGCTATGGTTTGAGCTGCTGTAGGAGCAAGCTTAAGGAATATCCAGCAGCTGGAAAAGCTGGATGCTGATTAAAGGTGGGGGAATCCAGGGAGATGAAAATACTGGGAATTCCAGGGAATGTGGAGCAGCTGGAAAAGGGTTAAAGGTGGGTGAATACCCAGGAGATACCAGTGCTGGGAATTCCAGGGAATGTGGAACAGCTGGAAAAGCTGAATGCTGAAAGGTTAGAGGTGGAGGAATCCAGGGAGATGAAAGTGCTGGGAATTCTAGGGAATGTGGAGCAGCTGGAAAAGGGTTAAAGGTGGGTGAATCCCAGGAGATCCCAGTGCTGGGAATTCCGGGGATGTGGAGCAGCTGGAAAAGGGGATGCTGCAGGGTTAAGGGTGGGTGAACCCCGGGAGCTGCCAGTGCTGGGAATTCCAGGATGCCGTGCCAGAACCCCCTGCAATTCCATGGACTGAATCACCTCAGAGTCCTTAAATATTAAAGTTTCACCGGGATAACTCCCAGGATTTATTCTCTGGAGATTAAAAATCCATGCTCCTCATCCCTTTTTTTTTTTTTTTTTTTGGGAAGCGCGGCCGCTCCCCCCGCTCTGCCCGGCCGGGAGGAGCGCTGAGCTCACGGCGGAGCCGCCGGCGGGGCGGCTCCGGGGAGGGGTTTGCGGAGCAAATCCAGTGAAATTTGGCAGGAAGCAGCAGCTCCTCGCCGCACATTTCCCTGCCTGCAGGAGGATTTTTTGCAGCGCTCAGCCCGGGAGGAAAACCTGGATGAAGCTGGGCTGAGCTGCCCCCCAGCACAGGCACCGCTAATTGAGGTAAATTCGGGGCTGCGAGCCGGGTTTGGGGTTTTATTGCCACAAAAAATTCATTAATTTCAACGTTTCTAAAGCTTTCTTTCTTCGCGGCTGAAAGTTTCATTTCCCTTCTTCTCTCCGAACGTGTTTTTCTCCCTCTCCCGTCGTGGTAAAAGACTGGGCTGGGGGAAAATTGATGTTTTCCCTAATTCTTGTCCTCCGGGCTGGATTTGGCGGGGCTGCGATGCCGAAGAGTTTCGGTGTCACTTTTTAAAGAAGTCCTGGCCGAGCTGGAGATTTTATCCCTTTTTTGCTCCCAGCCATTCCCGACTGGAATAAAAGACGAGTTGCGAGTCCGGGCAATGCCTGAGCTGGGATTTTGGTAAAATATCCCGAATTTCGAGCAGAAAAGCCATCAGCGTTGGGTAAATCGGGGAGGATCTTGGAGTTCTCCTCTCTGGATAATTCCCGTTTTTTCAGAGGGAAAACTCAGGGGCAGATGTTTGGCAGAAGGTGCAAAATATGTCCTTAATTAAGGAATTTTTTTCCTGCTGTCACTGCTGGGGATTCTCTGAGCCTACGAGCAGCTCCTTGAAAACTGTTTTGTGCTGGTGAATTTTGGGATTACTTCGGGATATCCGCCTGGAAAGCTGCCCCGGAGAAACGTGGGATGCTCAACCCGGCCCGGGCTGAGCTCACCAATCGTTGTGATTAATATTTCCCTCCCGATGAGTTTTTGTTGTTAATTAAACAGCTGTGCATAAAAGATCTAAGCCCAGATAACTTAGAATATTAGAGAGGAAGATCCAAGTTTGGATATTTGGGAGTGCAGCAGGAAAACAATTCATCATCTCCACAATCAGCTCATAAAGGTGACAGCGCAGTGCTCCCAATTTTTCCTGGATACAGCCAAAAAAAATCATGGATTTAGGGCTCCTCCTTCCCAGTTTTCTCGCCACCCACGGTGGTGGAATTTCCTCAGTTGGGGAGTGGGGAGCAGTTAAAATAATAATAAATGAAATAAAAGCGTGAATTGCTGGGATATCCGAGTGCTCAGGGAGGAATCACACCTTGGAGCGAGTGCTGGGTGCTCCGGGAGGGAATTCCGATAATCCCGGCCCCAGGGGCAGCAGGGTGTTGGGAAACATCCCCGAAAATGCCTTGTTAAAGGAAATTCAATCCTTAAATCAGGCGGTGCTGAGGCTCAGAATCCCTCTCCAGTCCAACCAGCAGGAGCTTTGGGGGTGCAGAAATGAGAATTTTAGGGGGAAAAACTTCGGGGAAGTTTCAGCAGCTCGGAAGAGCCCCGGGGGTTGCGGAGTGGGTGATGGAGCCCAGGAAAGGCTCCTGCCCTCCGCCCGGGACTGAATGGAAATTCCAAAGGGAATTCCGTGTGCTCTGCTGGAACTTCATCCTGCTACAGGCTGAGCCCCTGAAACGCACCCAGAAACGAGCTCTGGGTTTTTGTATCCAAATTCATTGTCTTTCTGTCCCTGCGCTCCATTCTGCTTTCCTTTCCTTCATTTATATTCATTTTTCCCTTTTATTCCTTCCCCTCCCGAGCAATTCCAGAGCATCCCTGGTGAGGTTTCAAAGCAGAGCTCCCAGGTCTGGGCACTGGGATGATCCCCAGATTTTACCAGGGTCGGGATTAAATGCACAAGACATTATTTCTTGTTTGGACTTTGATGTTTATTAGTTGTTATTTACATTATATTTACTTAGATGTTTATTAGTTATTATTTATATTTACTTAGATGTTTATTAGTTCTTATTTATATTACAGTCTCACCACCCATGAGTTTCGCAGCATTTCACTTTAACAAACTAAAAAATGGAGCCCTATTTCTCCCTCTCTGCAAGGCTTGTTAAGGATAAATTGTCTAATTAAGAAATGACGCTTAAATTATTTTTACTTTTAACTTAGTAACTGAGCACTTGTGGCCTGCAGTGTGGACTTTTTTATCCATTTACACAATACCACTTAAACTCGTGAAGAACAAGGTGAAGAAGGAGCAGCCTCTGCCCTAAAACTTCTATCTTGATTTACATTTATCTTTACATTTATCTTTACATTTATATATTTATATATTTATATATTTATATATTTATATTTATATTTATATTTATATTTATATTTAGTGTGTATTATATATAAAAATATATAAACATATAATATTTGTTTATATTTATTTATATATATGATAGAATATATTACTATTTCCTAAAACTTTAAACCCCAAGTTTCCTCCCTGCCATGTCACACACTTCCATCCAAGCTCCACACCCACAGTCCCAGTGCTGTCACTCAATTTTGGAAGTTTTCCCCACAGCCTCAGGTCAGTGCAGAGTTCTCTTGGGGGTCAGTGTCTGCCAGACAGACAGAGCCCCTTTTTGGCACTTTCAGGGCCCTTTTTTGGCACCTTCAGGGCCTTTTTTTGGTACTCTCAGAACCCTTTTTTTCACTTCCAGGGCCCTTTTTTGACACTCTCAGGGCCCTTTTTTGACATTTCCAGGGCCTTTTTTGACACTCTCAGGGCCCTTTTTTGGCACCTTCAGGGCCCTTTTTTTTTTTTGACACTTTCTGAGCCCTTTTTTGGACACCTTCAGGGCCTTTTTTTGGCACCTTCAGGGCCCTTTTTTTGGTACTCTCAGAACCCTTTTTTTCACTTCCAGGGCCCTTTTTTGGCACTTTCAGGGCCTTTTTTGACACCTTCAGAGCCCGTTCTTTGACACTCTCAGGGCCCTTTTTATTCACTTTCTGAGCCCTTTTTTGACATTTTCTGTCCCACATTTCCCACTCCCCTCTGCAAAAACGCCCTCGGAGGAGGAAAAGTTCCACTCCTAATCCAGGATGGAAATTTGTTATTCCAAGGGGGATTTCCCAGCAATAACAACGGCCTGGTTTGGAGCCCGGCTGTCCCGCTGCTGGATTAGGGAGATTAATTCAAACAGCATCACCCCGAGGGTGAGGAGTGATCCCCTCCTCCTTGGAGGGTTTCAGATCCACCTGGAAATCCTCTCCAGGGAAATCTGAGATGTTCAACCCCCAGCCAGGCTGAGCTCTGCTCCTTCAGCTCAGGATCCTTCTCTGTGGTTAATTTTCCCCTTCAGATGAATTTTTGGTGTTTAATTTAAGCAGTTTTTGCTGTGTGGAGATAAAAAAAATAAAGATCAAATGACCAGGAGAGCTCAGAACATTACAGAGATCCTGGTTTAGAAATCTGGGAATGTAGCAGGAAGACTTTTCCCCATCTCTATCTGGGGAAATGTATCACTATAAAGAGATATTTATCTTCATATTTATCTATATAAATATGTATTTATAAGGATATATTGATGTTTATAAAGATAAATTCCCTAAAATTTGCAGGGACATGGGAATTTTTCCAGGGATCAACACCTGGATTGGGATTTTCTGACAGTGGTTGGTGCCTCTGATCCTTCCAGGGACCTTTGTGGCTCAGGTTTTTAGGAGTGGGAACAGGAAGGGATTTAATCCATGGGGATTTAACCCTTGGAGAGCCCCTGCCATGGCAGGGCAGAGACTCTTGGAGCACTGGGAGCAGGGATCCAAAATCTCACCCCGGGGAATGGCAGGATTTTATTTCCTTTAACAATTCTGGAGAGGCTCCCAGTGGAGAAGAGGCTGGAGAACTCCTCCCGTGGCATCTGGGGTGATGGAGAGTGGAATTGGGAATGCAGGAATTCCCAGGATTCCTGTTCCCAGCCCGAGGAATACACCTGGGGTGATGGAGCTGGAACTGGGGATGCAGGGATTCCCGGGATTCCCAGGATTCCTGTTCCCACCCCGAGGAATGCACCTGGGGTGATGGAGAGAGGAATTTGGGATGCAGGGATTCCATTCCTGTTCCAAGGGAAATCCTGTTCCCACCCCGAGGAATTACCTGGGGCGATGGAGCTGGAACTGGGGATGCAGGGATTCCTGGGATTCCTGTTCCAAGGGAAATCCTCTTCCCAGCCCAAGGAACGCACCTGGGGTGATGGAGAGAGGAGTTTGGGATGCAGGGATTATCGGGATTCCTGTTCCAAGGGAAATCCTGTTCCCAGCCCGAGGAATGTACCTGGGGTGATGGAGCTGGAATTGGGAATGCAGGGATTCCCGGGATTCCTGTTCCCAGGCCGAGGGATGGAGAGTGGAATTGGGAATGCAGGGATTGCTGGGATTCTATTCCCAGCCCAAGGAGCACCTGGGGCGATGGAATTGGGAATGCAGGAATTCCCGGGATTCCTCTTCCAAGGGAAATCCTGTTCCCAGCCCGAGGAATGTACCTGGGGTGATGGAGCTGGAATTGGGTATGCAGGGATTCCCGGGATTCTATTCCCAGCCCGAGGAACGCACCTGGGGCAATGGAATTGGGAATGCAGGAATTCCCGGGATTCCTGTTCCCAGCCCGAGGAATGCACCTGGGGCGATGGAGAGTGGAATTGGGAGGCAGAAATTCCCAGGATTCCCGGGATTCCCAGTTCCAAGCGGCTGAACACCAACGGTTCAGAGCTCCAGGGACAATCGGGACAATTGTCCCCGCTCCCGAGGGATGTGGAGCGTTGCTGCCTCCTCGGGCACAAAGCGCTCCCGTGGGCATTCCAGACTTTGCTTTTGTTGTCTGGAGGAGGACGGGAGCAGGGAAGTGTCTGGTTCCGGGGTTTGTCTGAGCTCATCCATGGCTGGGGTGACTGGAGGGGATTCAAAAGGGGAATTTTGGCTGAATTTGGCTCGGGAGATGAGCGAGCTCTGTTACACCTGGAAAAGCAAAAACTCAGGATTAGGAGCTTTGGGAGGTCCATGGAAAGGAGGGAGAAAGGTTTTAAATGGGCAGAGAGTGCCAGGACAAGAGGCAATGGTTTTAAACTGCCAGAGGGCAGGGACAGTTGGGATATTGGCAAGGAATTCCTCCCTGGGAGGGGGTGGGGAAGGCTGGGATGGAATTCCCAGAGCACCTGCCGCTGCCCCTGGATCCCTGGAAGTGTCCAAGGATGGACACCCTGGGGCAGTGGGA